ATGGACTAAATGAAAGATGAGCTTTTAGAGGGATAAACAAATACAGGAGGACCCGGCGGTGTTTCATAAGGTGCTAAAATTTTATCTGAAAATAAGAAAAAATATATTGTTAGGAATATAAATCAAGTTTGTCTTTACAATGACTGTATTTAAGTTTGTCGTAGTAATGAAAAAAGGCACTATTATTATTTTACTCTTGTATGAATATGAACTAATTAAAAAAAAAAAGCATTTTAACTTTGTACTTGAACAATGTAAGAAATGAACCGTGAATAAAAAAAAGGACTGTTTCTTGTGATTTGGGCCTAAAAGACTTTCTCTATTTTTTTTTAAATCACTTTACTTAATTACTTTTTTTGCTTAGAAAAGTAGACATTTTTTAAAAATAATTAAACATTTAATATATATATATATTATATGCATATGATAGCAGATGTAAGATGATATGAAATATGAAATATTCCAATTGGTCCATCTTTTTGTTATCTGTAAGCTTTAGTTTTCTAGATCTTCTAGTGTTGTTCATTCTGGATTTGCACCGTGATGCTGCCAAGAAGAGGAGCCAAGTCTCCAGACTGCAGCTCTTCACCTCGATGTTGCTGCCTTCACGGTCCTGGCCTGTAAACGTTCGTTGCTGCTGAAAGAACAGCATTCATGTGCAGCAGAATCTGCAAGTGAAAGAACTGCCTTTCTCCGAATTTCCGGGTAAAAGTTTAAAGGTGAATTCAGTGTTGGCTAATATTAAACTATTAAATTATTTTTCACATTTCACTGAATTCTAATCCACTCAGCAATTTATTTATTCTCACAATTCTGAGACTTAAATAAATTCAGAAAAATCTGATAACTCATTTCTGAAAATTAAACGATTTTAATCTTTTATTGTTTTATTTTAAACAGAATTATAGTATTTTTTCCTTTATTTTTTATTGTATTAATATTCATTCCATCCACCAAAGTGTTTTTTTTCTTCTTGTGTGCTAATGTACTTGCACTAAATTTATCTGAACTTCGTTGAATATTTTATGAATTCTTTAAATTATACACCAAGGGCCCCCGGTTACCAGATTTACGACATCATTTGAACGCCGCACCGGAGGCAAGCGACACGCCCCTGCCTGCGTGCAGCGGAGACCCCTCCGGCGCTCTTATCTCGTCTCCTATTGGTCAACTTTACCGCCGCTCAGCTCAGATGGCCTGTGATTGGATGACACAGGCAGCATCTTGCGGCTCGCTCTGTGCCAGCTGTCCGCCCGCACTCGCCTGGTGCTGTTCAGCAGAGAGAGGCTGAGGAGGAGGTTGTCGAAATACGAAGAAAAAGGGTAGGAAAAAACCGCCGTCAATGATTTAAATTCCATTGATAATCACCAGGTTAATCCGATGTGTGAGTACGTGAAAATATGGTTGTGTTTTATCCCATTTTTAGTCTTTCAAATCTCTAAATTGGTTCATTAAACCCAGACCACATCAAGTGGAATAATTAATAAGACGCTAACATGGAAAACAAATAAATAAAAATGGCGTATTGTCGAAAATATACGTTAGGTATTTGACATTTTATGCGCCGTATTTGACGGTTTTGGTCGATGACACTCGAATTTAATTACATTTATGAGAATGTTATCGTTTCAAATAAGAAAAAAAAATTGAAAATGGTCGATTGGTTAAATTGGTTAAATAATGTTAAAGCTAAAACATGATTGGCTAGCGTTCATTAGTCTGTGCAATGTGTGTGTGTGTGTGTTTGGCGTTCCATCAGTGCAGTGTGTGTGGCATGTTATGTAAGTCCATTCGTTTACAGGTTATAACCAAAATATAACTGAGCTGAGGTAGTGATGATGAAGAGGAGGGGCCCGGAGGAGTCGACGTGAATACAAACGAGTCTGACGGAGTGTGTGTGTGTGTGTGTAACCCTGGGCCTTGTCAAACAGACCACAGTCCAGTTGTGATGAACCTGCACCGTAGACCACTTGTATAAAATGGACAGCGCTGCTGTGTGGTGGTAAAGGGAACCTCCACCCCCCCCCCACACCCACTGCAGTGTCCACCTCTGTCTCCTTTACATTTAAATCCCATCACATGACAAATTTTCCAGCTAATAGGATTTTTTATGTATTTATGTTTTGCAAAATTGACATCATGTTTTATAGGAGAGACCTGGAGCCCTGACCTCCTATTAAAGGAGAACAAATTAATTTATGATAATGTTAAAAAAAAAAGGAGTTCACCCCCTGAATATCTGCACATCTGGACAGATTAGAGAGGACGTCCACTGGGTCTGAGGCGTAGCTGCTAATCATGATTCAGGCCGATGTTCCTGAACACATCTCGCTGCAGGACCAGATTTAAAAAAGATGACAAACCATCACAACCTAATGCATCATATCATTGGGGAAAGTCCTGGCTAATGTAGTCCGCCGTCATCTGCTTCTGACGTCACTCAGTCGATCCTGATGATGCACTGCTGCCACCTACGGGGCTGGAGTGAGCGTGTACATCAGTGTTACCGTTTTTTATGTAATTGGTCCAAATTAATGCATTGAAGTCCCAGTAGTGAAAGGAATTAGTTTAGTTTTTTGTTGTTGTTTTTTTTATGTAATTGGTTGAATTTAAAGTATTAAAGTCCCAGTAGTGAAAGGAATTAGTTTGTAAAAGTAAAATGTTCTGGTGTTGAAGCGTCGACACGGCCCAGTCAGTTACTGGATGTTTGTTACTGCTGTTGTCACCGTGTGTTTATGTGACTTTGATTCACTGAGGCCTCATTCATCCTCACTGAATGTGTGTGTGTGTGTGTGCGTTCATTTTCTATTCTTATCTCCTTTTGGCTGTTTGCACACACACACACACACACCACACACACAGTGAGAAAGACACCCAGACAGACATAGTACAACACTACCAAACACTCTCTCTCTCTCTCTCTCACACACACACACACACACAGACACCGTTCACCATTTCCCCCTTTGGCGATTACTGTGCAGATCAAACAGGAGTCAGCAGCTGTCGACTCCTTTTTTCTCGCTTATACATCACACATACATTCACACACACACTCACACTCTCTCTCTCACACACACACAATCCTGACTTTAAACACTAACATTTCCCTATGATCCAACCCAAACACTAGTTTGCTAACTGTTTTTTTTATCCTGACTTTAAACACTTTGTGACACGTCTGTGAGGCGTCTGTAGTTTGTAATTTGACCTGAAAAGTAGCCTGTGACAGCATCTCACACACACACACACACACACACACATATGTCTCTGCACTTGTACAGAAACAGACATGTGTGTGTGTGTGTGTGTGTGTGTGTGTCAGCAGCTACTATTTCAAAGTGAAGCCGTTCCTAAATAAACAGACCTTTAATTTTAAAATGACGTCTGTTTGTTATTGATTAACATCTGGGAATTATTAATGAGTGTTTGTGTCAGCGCGACGACGTGACGCTGGAGGTCGGAGCTAAGTGTGCGGCCGCTGCTCCTCCTGTATTATTGATTAACAGGTCTGTTTGGAAACAGCTTGAATGGAGAAAGTTGAGAAGTGATAGCATGTGTGTGTGTGTGTTTGTGTGGCTTTTACCTGGTTGTCTATGGTAATATACACTTTGTGTTATTTTGTGAACAACGACTGTAAAGACAGTGACGTGAACAGGTGTCACTGTCCAATCATCAACGACTCTCTGCTTCACTCCCTTTGATTTCCCTTTGGATTTTCCTGACGGACAAAGCCGCGAGTGTCTGCCGCAGTTGTCTGTCAAGTCAGCGTTCCCGTGCCTCCACCCCACACTCACACACACACACACACAAACTCAGACTCAGGTCATTCATCTGTGTGGGCTCGGCCTGAGACGATTGGAAAATAATGAGAGCAGCAGTTTGAGTCTTAAATATCAGTTACAGAGGCCGAGGCCACGACCACCACCGCCACCACCACCGCTGCTGCTGCTGCTGCTGCTGCTTCCTGTTTCTGATCAATCTTCTAGGTTTTTATTAATCCTGAAGAGTCTGTCTCCACCCCCCCCCCACCCTTCACTGCCACATAGGCAGCACTTCCTAATGATGTAAACATTCCATTAAAACCTCAATCTGTAATTAAGAAATTGGATTGAATTTTTTAAAGGATTGTCACCGACCAAATTAATTAGATTTTTTTAATTGTTGCGACCCATAGGAGGTCATAGTCTTAGAGTTTTTTAGGGGAGGTGCCCTTATTAGTGCCCTCCCCACCCCCCCACCCCCCCCGGATTAAGGGCTCGGTGGAATCATGACCAGAACTTTGTGAAAGGCAGGAATCCGATGAAAATGCGATCAGGATGCATCCTGGGAGGTTCCTTAGTTGGCGGATTACAGATTACAGGACTGGGTGTTTATTCGGGTAATTAAAGGAGTGTCCACTGAAGACGTCCACTGAAGACGTCCACTGTAGACGTCCACTGTAGCTGTCCACCAAAGACGTCC